CAGCCCTCTGTGGCAGAGAAGGCTAAAGATCTTGTAAAAATCTACAAATCCCAGTATTCTACAGGATGAAGCAACAGCACTTAAAGTGGTGTCAAACTGCATTATATCTCCAGTGCAGATGCATTCTGAGAGTAAGCTTTAGATACAGGTGGAGGATGTCTGCCTCTTTCTCCCCATCCTTTCTTCCTCTTTCAGTTGCTATGCATCTGGTGATCATGTTTCCTGGAAGACCTCTGGTAACACAGACGGGAATGACAACAGCAAAAGAGCAGAAAGCAGGGAAGGCATCCTTTCCCTCCCTTAGCTTTCCTCCTGTCTCTCCCCATGAGATGAAATGGCTTACCTTTAAGAACTGCAGTGGCTTCTCTTTATTTCCAGTGGAATATACACTAAAAAATTTCCCATGGTTTTAGTATGCCAGATGTACACACCCAGCAACGTAGTCATTGTCCGTCCGCTCCCTAGTTTTAGTTCTTGTGGTGCAGTGGTTTGAGTGTTGGACCAGGGCTCTGGAGACAAGGTAATCAGATGTCCTCACTGCAAAGGAGTACAAGTCACTGCAAAATGGAGTGGAAATGAAGGAAAATGTAGGACATAACCAAAGAAAAGGTGGACCATGGACCAGTGCCAACAACTGCTAATAACACTATAAATGCATGCTTCTTTATCATACTCAAAACGGTGGGCGTTTTGAAATTCCTCCTGGACAGAAAGTTGAAATGTAGGGCATATCCAGAAAAAGGTGGACATCTGGTCGCCCTGTCTGGCAGTCAAAAAAACTCACTGGGTGAGCTTGGATAAGTCACAAACTCTCAGCCTTAAGGGATGGCCATGGCAAACCTCCTCGGAAGAAACATGCCAAGAAAACCCTATGATAGGTTCACTTTAAGGCAGAGGTAGGCAACCTTTCCCCTTTAAGGGCCGAGGGACTTCAGTTCCCAGAATCCCAGGAGCTATTGACCAACATGGGACTATTGGCCAACATGGCTGAGGCTTCTGGGAGCTGAAGTCCCTCAGCCCTTAAAGGGGAAAGGTTGCCTACCCCTGCTTTAAGGTCTCCATAAGTATGACTTGGAGGCATACAGCAGCAAACAACAATAATTTTATTTTTATTTTTGCTTACAACCCAATCTGAACAAGACTTGGGGTAAACTTGAAAGTTCTCACTTCCAATCACTTTGTCATTGCCCCCACCCCCCAAAAAGCTGGTGCTAACAAAGGGCCTTTGCAGACTGCCAGAAATAGTGCAAATTGAGTCCACTTTAACAGTCCTGGCTCAGTGCTAGGGAATCATGGGCACCAGAGCTCTCTGACAGAGAAGGCCCAGTGTCTCAGAAAAAAATACAATTCCCATGATTCCCTAGCACTGAGCCAGGGCAGTTTAAGTGAACTCAATTTGCAATATTTCTAGTAGTCTGCAAAGGCCCAAAGGTAGCAAGTGCTGGTATTTTTATGATTTATATCCTGTTAGTTCAATTTGCAGAGCCAGCAGGCATAGTGGTTTGAGCATTGGACTAAGACTCGGAAAACCAGAGTTTGAATCCTGGCTTGGCCTTGTAAACCTACTGGATGACCTTGGGCAAGTTACACTCTCTCTGCCTCATAGGATGGCCATGGCAAACCCCCTCTGAAGAAACATGCCAAGAAAATCCCATTATAGGTTTGCCTTAGGGTCAGAAATGACTTGAAGGCACGCAACAAAAGTTCAGCATGGCTAACCCCACTTTTGCAATGATAACTATTGGCTTTTAAAAAGTGTTGTTTTGCCACAGTGTTATAATTCTTGCTTGGTTTTTGAAGTAATTTTAAGTAATTGTGCACAGATTTCTGTGTGTATATGTGTGTTCAGAAGATGGAGGGCTGTTGTTTCGAATTGGGTGGTCCCATAACAGGGCTCCTGTACCAGCAATGAAATAGAAGAGGAAATTTCAGTAGATGTAACTTGTGCTGCAAAGGAGGGTTTGTTTAGAAACCTTTATGTGCAACGGTATCCTAATCATGCTGTCTGCTTGCAAATACTCTTCGGGCATGTGGATAGTAAATCAAGGACTACACAATCTTGAGATCTTCTTCCACAGGGCTTTTATGTTTGACCCTAATGCCAAATGTCATCACATCAGTTTAATCAATATTCTCAATGTAATGCATTTAACCACTGGCTGCGTACTACCTGCAGGTTTGTTGCTACATCCATACTATTCAAAGAGGTGGACCATGGACCAGTGCCAGTCTAGAGTTATCAGCAGTCAGTCTTCAATGAGTTTCCAGGAAACTTTGCTAATGCAGTAATATTATGGAACAATACTGATAGCAATCCTTGCCACATTAGGAGAAAAAATTCTGGTCTGCCACATTAGACAGCTTGAGAAGTACTGACTGGTATGTGTTTTGCTTGTGAGTTTCTGATGAAGTAGCTGGACTAAGCAAGCTTGTGATCTCATCCAGCAGGGCTGCTCTTGTGTTCTTCTGTCCTACATCTTTTTAAAAATGTGTATCAAGGAGCAACACTGAAGATATGCAGTAATTTACTGGATTAAGTTCTTAATCATTGAGAATGGTTTCTCTCAGTGTGACCCACTTGATATCAATATATAAAAATATAACTTGATATCAATATATAAAAAATGAGTTTCCTCCTGATTAGATATGTAATTCTTCACTAATTTATTTCTAGAAGGAAGCGATGAGTGATTTTAGCAATTTTCTTTCCACCCCAAGAAGGTCTTTGAAAACCCTACAGTTTTTGATACATTTGGTACTATGGTACATTTCCTGCATGGAAAATAGCATTTTCTGCAGAGACATTATTTTCTGTGCAGAAAAAGTTGTTTCCTGTGTAGAAAATGCTATGGAAATGAAAAACATGCAAATTTTGCACAGAATAAAGCCCCAATTATAGCATTTTCTTCATGGAAAACAGGGGTTTTTTTTTGCTTAGAAAACAATGTATTTGCATAGAGATATTATTCTCTGCACAGAAAATAGCCTTCCTATGCAGAAAATACTGTTTTCTACACAAAACAACCATGTGCAAATTTTGCACAGAGCACATCCAAATTGCAAAGATTTTCAACAATCAATTTTTTTTCTGTTGTTTAGCATTGAAAAAGCATATTTTTATTCTTATTTTAAAATACTTTTTGAACCTACTCTTAATGGAATAGTAAAATGAAAGCTATAATCTCAGAATTACTTGGGCTGCATCTGTACTTCAGAATGAATGCAGTTTGACACCACTTTAACTGCTCTGGTGCCATGCTGTGGAATTCTGGGATTTGTAGTTTTGTGAGATAGCCTTCTCTGTCAGAGAGCTCTGGTGCCATAACAAACTACAAATCCCAGGATTCCATAGGATGGAACTACAGAAAGTTAAAGAGGGGCTGAATTGCGTTAATCTGCAATGTAGCAGCAACATTGGTTCCATGGAACTGAAAGAGATTTGTTTATGGAGTAAATACGAAAAGGTGTGGGGTTCAAACTGGTTCACCCCTAGAAAAGTCAGGTAGTTTGGTCTGAATATTACCCTAGAACAGGCCTGTACAAAATACAGCCTGTGGTCCTCATGCAGCCCGCCAAGGATTTTGGGTGGCCCATGAGGATGTCGAACGATTTCAAGGCTCCTCCACCGCTTGGCCATCTCATGAGGAGAGGGCCATGTGGAAGAGGAGGAAGAAGTACCAACACTTGCTTTCCAAGGCTCCTCTGCTGCTTAGCTTTCTTCTGAGAAGGTCCGGCAGCAGAGGAGGAGGATGGGCAAATACTTGCTGAGCAAGGCTCCTCCACCATCTGGCTTTTGCTGAGGAGGAGGACAGACAAATACTCGCCCTACAAGGCTCCTCCATTGCTTGGCTTCCTCCTGAGGAGAAGGCAGAGGGCAGAATGAGGATGGGTGGGATAAGGATGGGTGAACACTTGCAACGCTCCTCTGCTGCTTGGATTTCTCCCAAGGAGAAGGCCAGGTGGTAGTGGAGGAGGAATTTGGGCAAATGTTCACTGCTCAGGGTTCCTCCACTGTCCAGCTTTCTACTGAGGAGAAAGCCAAGTGGCGGTGGTGGAGGACAGGCAAATGCTTGCCCTGCAAGGCCATCTGCTGCCCAGCTTTCTCTTGAGGAAAGGGCCAGGCAGAGGAGGACGATGGCGGAATTATTAATTAATTAATTAATATTTAATTAAGACCTATCTGCATCCCGAAGAAGTTTAGCCTATTTTAATTTTGGCCCCTTCCTACTGCCAAGTTGTGCAGGTCTGCCCTAGAACCAACCCCATTAAAAAAAGATGGGTTTATTTCTCATGATCCCAACAGTCTTATAGGGCAGGGTTGGTCAACTCTCTGGGGGCCAGGAACCAGTTGTCCCCCCCCAACTCCATCCTGGGCCATATACCCCCCAACAGCAACCAAACATACTTTTTTGCCACATCCTAGCTAAAATGGCAACTGGTACAGATGTCACATCATTTTTTTTTTGGTCATTTTGATGTGACAACTGACGGTAAAGGAGGTTTTGAGAGAGAGGCTAGTGATGTAAGTTTTCACATGTGTCGTGTGTGTGTGTGAGGCTGGCATGATTTTGCAGCAAAGATGACCTGAAAATTATCCCTCCTAAAATCAGACATTTTTGTGGATGGGGGACTTTGGGGACATCAAAAGTGTGGTCCAGGATCCAGATGCAATCTCCACCCCAATTATACAGGTGAGGAATGAGTATGTTGGCCACATACTACTGTTAATTGCTGTAGCTTTTGAGGATGTTGAGTGGTCAAAACTCCTTGCTCCTGACCATCTGCTATACTAAATGAAGACTCACCATCTCTACCTTCAGCATCTAAGGTGTGCTCACTGATTATGGTTGTTATTGTTGAGTGTCTTCAAGTCATTTCTGACTTATGGTGACCCTAAGGTGAACCTATCATGGGGTTTTCTTGACAAGTTTCTTTAGACACGGTTTGTCCTCTGTGGCTGAGAGAGTGTGACTTGCCCAAGGACACCCAGTGAGTTTTTATGGTTGAGCTGAGATTCAAACCCTGTTCTCCAGAGTCATAGTCCAACGTTCAAACCACTACACCACACTAACCTGTTTTAAACTAGGAATGCCAGATCCTGGTTGTTCAAGAAGTGATATCTTATTTCATTCCCACCATTACCACAAGTTTACTAGTGGTAGTATCTTTGTCTTTCTTATGCCAAGGATCTAAAGTGTTCAATAGTTTTTCACAGCCAAGAAATGATGATGATGATGATGATTATGATATCACAGACATATCTGTTCAGCTATCAGTGACATGTTTGGGACATCCTGCTTTATTAAGTATAGTTAAGACTGCAGCACAATATTTTTCTTGCTTCATATATTCCTATGATCCTGTTGCCAAAATCAAACACATGTTGACCAGAAGCTATGAAGGCATGTTTCTGACATCTCAACAGACGATATATATTAGACTTCAAAAGACAAATCCCCTCTATGGGATTTTACATTGAAACTATCAAACAAAATCACTGCTGTCTAGAATCCTGCCCAGCAAGAACTAGCACAACCAGCCAAAATTTGTCTTTTCTTTAAAGGAATACCAAATTTCCAGATTCATAGTTAACACTGCTTATCCCAGCTTATTTGAAGAAAACAACAAACCTGAGACAATTTATGCATCGATTGAAGAATTTCTACAGTTATCCTACAGCACCTGCACTTTTATTTGGAGGAAAGTTAATGGGTTTTTTTAAGTATGCACTTTTCTGTAGTAGTTTTTCCAAGGTCCAATGAGAACATATGCAAATTTGGATTCATACAACGCAGAAACACCACGCTGTGCACTACAGGGTATGATAACCAGACTTGATAATTTTGCAAGAAGAGTAGCATATTGAACAGAATTGGATCTTTCCAGGGAGCAAAAATAAATTTAGAAATGGGATTGCAGTTTTTGATAAGTCTGACATATGCATCCATTTTGTTTGGATACTTGGTTATTTTAATCTAATGTTTAATGCCTCTGAAGAAAACACTCTTTGAAGGGAAATGATGTACAGTACCTCTCACTGGCAGAGGAAAAAAAGAGAGAGCATGGACATCTTAGGAGTTTATCATACGGGACAGATCCCATGCAGAAACTGGATTTAAAGTGAAAACAACCTGCAAAAGCAGGTTGTTTTTCACACAGTGTTGGCATAAAGGGGAAATAACATGACATTAATTCTAACGGAAAGTCGCCAAAACCTGCTCCTTTTTAGTTTCGGAAGTTCCTGAAAGGAAAAAGGAGTGGGTTTTGATGACTTTCCGTTGGGATTAGTGTCGCTTTATTTCTTCTTTACACAAATATGTCTGAAAAACAGCCCGCTTTTGTGGATTTTTTTCAGATTCTTAAATTCAGTTTCTGCACAGGATTTAAGCAATTTGCCTCCGTGTGATAAGGTCCTTAGAGTGGCTAGGAAGAGCATAAGCCATTTTGAGAAGTTTAGATTACATTTTAGTCATATTTATCTTGCATTCTAATAATATGTGTCTATTCCTAGAGAGGAGTCACACTTTCTGAAAATTCCTGATGGCTCCCCTCCCCAACTTTGTGATTTTTGGAGTAGTGTTAATTTGAAGATATTGACATAATTTTCAAATTTGATGGGTATTCGTTTGTAAAATATGCTTTTAAGGTTTCACATTTTCCCACATTAGACCTTGGAGAACTTTTGTTTTGTGCTGTCTTCATGCTCTAGCTGGAACTACTTGACAGATGCTTTTGTTTATTTCTCATACTTGCCCACTTGCTTCCCTTTACTGGACCTTTTCTGCCCATGCCTACACCTTAAGGTTGTGGGAGAGAACAGGGAAGGATCTTTAGTGCTGAATAGAGTAAATGGGGAAAAAATAGGTTTGGGGGAGATTGAAAAACAGTGAGGGTGGGGTCATGGGTGATTGAAGGAAAGAAGCAAGGTAGGAATGGGGAAAACAGAAAAAATGGAATGGATAGGGAAATGCAGGAGACTAGAGGGAACAGTAGGGGAGTGTGGGAAAATGGTGGGTGGACCAGAAGTGTAGGAGGAACAGATGAGTCCTAAGAAAGCTAGGCCTATGATGGGGCAAGGGAATGAGGAAGAATCCATGATG